ACAAAAACAAAGGCTAAAACAAAACAACATAAAACAATAAAAGTGATACAGAATTTCAAAACAACATGATAGGAAATAAAAAATGATTCTTATCCTACACATTACTATCCTAAAGGTAGTTACTCAGACAACCAGACACACGTATGCAGGATTGATCAAACAATTACACACTTACTGTTCCTTTCAATAAACCAATAGAAACTAGTAGTACAGTTATCTTAGCTATCTTGTGTATATAAATGTACCTATTTTCCCCTTCCTTCTTTTTCTTTTTTACTACTTTTCCCTCATCCCAGTTGTTCTTTCCCATTTGAGCAGTTTCTTTCCCATTCATAATATCTATTGGACTTTTCAGATTTTATTTACTCTTTCAGGTTCTTATACTAGAGAGGCAATATGTTGTTCACACATGTGAGTCTGATTTACTTCATTTATTATTATGGTCTCAAGTTGCACCCATTTACCTATGAAAACCTCTAGTTTATCTTCCTTTACAGCTGAGTAATGCTCCATTGGATAAAAATACCATATCTTTTTTATTGTTCCACAGTTGGTGGACATTTGAGTTGTTTCCAAGATTTAGCTATGACAAACTGAGCTTCTATAAACCTGTGTGTGCATATATCACTGTGGTACGATGTTTTCAGTTCTTCTGGGAAAATACCCAAAAGGGAAATAGCTGGGTTGAATGGGACCTTTAGTCCTCCTTTATTGAGGAATCTCCAGACTGATTTCCACAGTGGCTGCAACAGTCTATACTCTCACCAACAGTGGACAAGGGTTCCTTTTTCCCCACAGCCCCTCCAGCATTTGGTATGGGTGGAATTCTTGATGGTAACCATACTTTCTGGAGTGAGATGGAATTTCAGTGTTGTTTTAATTTGCATTTCTTGAATGACTAATGATGGTGAACATTTTTTCATGTATTTATTTGCCCTTTGTAGTTCTTTATCAGAGAAGTGTGTATTCATCTCAGATGCCCATTTTTATATTGGGTCTTTAAATTTGGGGGGCCTGATTTTTTAAAATTCTTTATATGTTCTACACAGGAGTCTTTTGTCTGAGGGACACTTGGCTAAAATTTTTTTCTCTATTGGGGGGTTTTCTTTTTATTCAGTTTGTGATTTCTTTTTACGTGTAAAAACTTTTCAACAATATGAGATCTCATTTGTTGATTCTTTGAAATATTTCCCAAGTAGTTTGGGTTTTGTTCATGAATTCTCTGCCTACCCCTATATCTTCAAGCTTTCCACCTACTTTCTCTTCCAGTAGATGTAGTGTTTCTGTTTTAATATTTAGATCTTTAAACCATTTTGACTTTATTTTGGTGCATGGTGATAGGCATGAGTCTAGGTTTAGTCCTTGGTATGTGGAAAGCCAGTTTTTCCAGCACTATATGTTGAAGACGCTATCTTTCTTCCAGAGAATATGTTTAGCTCCTTTATCAAAGATAAGGTGGCTAAGTGTGTTTGTAGTTGTGCTGCATCTTTTAGTCTGCTCCATTGATGTTCAAGTCTGGTTTTTTGCCCATACTATACGATTTTTATAACAGTAGCTTTGTTTATAATTTCAAATCAGGAATTGTGATGCCTCCTGCCTTGCCTTTGTTGCCCAGAATTGCTTTTGCTATCCTGGGTCTTTTCTGATTCCAAATGAGTTTTAGGAATGTTTTCTTTAGATCTGTGAGGTATACCAATGGTATTTTCATCAGGATTGCATTGAATCTATATAACATTTTTGGGAGTATGGCCATTTTCATGATGTTGGTTCTTCCAATTCATGAGCAAGGAATATCTTTCCATTTTTTGAAATCCTTTTTGATCTCTTTTTAAAGAGTACTATAGTTTTCACTGTATAGATCTTTTATTTTTTTGTTAGATTGATTCCTAAGTATTTTAACTTTTTAGATGCTATTGTGAAAGGTATGTTTTCCATAATTCCTCTCTCAGTACATTTATTGTTTGTATATAGGAATCCTATGGATTTTTGAGTGTTGACTTTGTATCTAGCCTTTCCTATTGAATTTGTTGATTAATTCTAGGACTCTTTTGGTGGATTTTTGGGTTCTTCTATGTAGAGTGTCATGTCATCTGCAAATAATGATCATTTCACTTCTTCCTTTCCTATCTTTATTTCTTTTATTTCTCTCTCTTGTCTAATTGCTCTGGCTAATGTTTCCAAAACTATGTTGAATAAGACTGGTGACAGTGGACATCCTTGTCTTGTTCTTGATTATAAAGTGAAAGCTTTCAGTTTTTGTCCATTTAATATAATGTTAACTGTTGGCTTGTCATAGATGGCTTTTGCCAGATTGAGGTAAAGTCCATATATTCCTATTTTCTGTAGGGTTTTTATCATGAATCAGTGTTGGACTTTATCAAAAGCTTTTTCTGCATCTATTGAGATGTTCACTTGATTCTTATCTTTGGCTCTGTTGATATGGGCTATTACATTTATTGATTTGTGTATATTGAACCATCCCTGCATTTCTGAGATGAGCCCCTCTTGGTCATGGTGTATTATCTTCTTGATGATTTGCTGCATTCTATTAGCTAATGTTTTATTGAGAATATTTACTTCTATGTTCATTAGGAAGATTGGCTCTTTCTTGGTTGGGTCTTTCTCTGGTTTTGGTATCGGGATAATATTTGCCTCCAGGAATGAGTTAGGGAGAATTGCTTCCCTTTCTATTTCTTTAAATAGTTTGAGAAGAATTTGCATTAGATCTTCTACAAATTTCTTGTGGAATTCAGCTGTGAATCCATCAGGACTTGGGATTTTCTTTGTTGGTAAGTTTTTAATTACATTTTCAATTTCAAGTGTGATATTGGGTTTTGCAAGAATTTTATATCTTCTTGATTCAGTTTTGGCAATTCGTATGTATCTAAGAATCTATCTATTTTTTCTGTGTTTTCCATCCTATGAAAGTAAAGATTTTTGAAGTAGGTATTGATGATGTTCTGAATTTCTACAGGATCTGTAGTGATTTCATGCTTTTCATTCCTTATTGCATGGATTTGAATTTTTTCTTTCCTTTTTTGATAAGGTTGTGTAGAGGTTTATCAATTTTAATTATTTATTCAAAGAACCAACTCCTTAATTTGTTAATTTTTGCATTGTTTTCTTAGTCTCAATTGCATTTATTCTGCTCTGATCTTTATAATTTACTCCCTTCTTTGGGCTTTGGGTGTGACTTGCTCTTGTTTTTGTAGAAGTTTGAGGTGCAGCATAAGGTTGTTTATTTGTTTTCATTCTTTTTTCCTGACTCAGATACTACCCTTTCTCTTGTGCTCCAACTACTTATGATAAGAGATATATGTTAAATGAACATAAGATTGTCAGACTATAAACTTATACATATGTTGTATGTGTTACTCTGTTCTATACTAATATGGGCATTTAAGTATGTTACAAAAATACTAAAATATTATATATAGCTATTGATCTCAAGTTTTCTTATAAACTGTATAACTGTTGTACCAAATCAATCATAAGCATAAGAAATAACAGCCCTCTGGTTATACATTATATTTCAGTGTACTTGATATGCACATAAAATTATAATAGTTAAACTCATTGCTCCCACTACACTACTGTTTCTCAGGTACAAAGGACAAAAAGGGCTGTAATATGTAACAACATTATTTATTGACCTTGCCTAAAACCGTAAAAATGTACAATAGACCTGCTTATATTAACAGATCCATTCAATAATTTTTTCAGCTTTGGAAAATTAAGCATATAACTGGAATTCTCTATAACCCTCAGGGACAAGGAAGTATAACCTTAACCTTAAAACAACAAGCAATAAAACAAAATGGAGGATCCAGACACTCCAGATGTTGCCCCAGGTGCAACTACATTTAACAAGTTATATTTAAAATTTCTGCACTGCTGTCATGCGGATAACCTGGGACAGGAGGTTGGCTTGTTTTTGCATAGATGATGAAGAGCCGCCGTGGCTGCCATCCCAGCGTGTGCCACCATGGAGCACACCCAGGGATGAGTCTGATGGCCACCAACACCCTTCATCTGACACCAGCAGAAAGACTGGGAGACATCGGTACTCTGCCTTGAGCAACAGAGAACAATACCCTCCTCCACATAGTCCACTAGAGAGCTGTAGAGATGACGGATGAAGCGTACTGCTTGACTTTCCCTCAGGGTTTGTGAAGCACACTGCTTCCCTTTCTCCTACCCCTGAAAGCCTCCTGGATGCTATACTTGCCATCATGGCTGCTGAAGTATGTATTCCCTCTGCTCAGGCAAGGAAATATTGGGTCTATGTGCCTAATCCTCCTTTTCTGAGGCTAGTTACCTGGATGATTCAGCGCCCCCAGAGGTTTTTCACTCGCTAGATAGACCACTTCCAAAAATGACAGTTTTGCCAGAACCTCAAATTATTACCTTTACAGAGAGCCAAACTTTAATAAACCTTACCTCGCATTTTGTTCACCTAATCTTGTATCTGTGCTAGATAACATTTCTGATCTTTGTTCTACAGTAAGATCTCAGTCTTGGGTGGCCTATATAAAAGATCAAATAGTAGTTGTTACTCTGGACTCAATACCCTTTTATGGAGATTATACTTATGAATTTAAAACCGACTTGCCTAATAATCCAATGTATTACTTCCTCATTTTTATGAAGGAGATATGGCCCAGTGGGAAACTTGTAGAAAGACAAATGAGTGTAATAAGATAAGTTTGGATTTTCCTTTGTAGTTTGGGCCCCATATGGAATGTTCGTGGGAGAAGATAGAAGTTGGGAATGACTGCCATTCAGTGGGTCTCCAAATCATACAGTCCAGTCCCTTCCACTGAGAAGTATCACCCAGCTGAGGTGGGGGTTAAATCTCCCTATACCCCATTTGATCATAAATAACAATCCTGGCCCTGTTCAATATTCTCTTTGAAAATTAGCATTACCCTCTGAACAAGGTTATATTCAGGTGAGAAAAAGGGAAGCCACCAATGGTGGAAAAGTTAAATTGACCCTAACTAGATTTAAACTTTAAAGTACTGATACTTATGTATACAATTCTCATGTACTCCTTTATAGGGATGTAATTTGGAATAAGATTTCCTTTTCATGTTTCATTGCTATCTTACCCTTTGCATCCATTCTGGTTAATTGTCAGGTTCTCATTCAGTTATCATTATGGGATGCATGCCTGGAGTGTGGTTTCCAGTCAATTTAACAAAACTCTGGCATCGTTCTCCCATCTCTTTGCTGGCCCAGGTGCTGATTAATGCTTTACCTGATGGGTTAAGCGCACGTTTGGGTTGCTTATTGCCCTTAGAGTGTTTATAGTTTTGTTAATTTCTAGTACCATGATTGGACCAATGACTCTTGCACATCCTTTGCAGACTACACGTTTCACTAACAACTGGACCAAGACTTCCAGTAGCACCTAAAAATCCAATGATATATAAATACTAATTTTCAGACACAGATAAGTGTGCTGGAAACCGCTGTTCTGTGGCTAGAGAACCAAGTACAGAGTTTAAAACTGCAGCAAAAGCTCAAGGGTCACTACATTATCAAATGTTTCTGTGTCACTTTTTTGCCATATAATAAGTCCTCCCATCTGTGGGAGCACATTAAGAAGCATGTTAAAGGCACAATCCGTCAAAAAATGACTTTGGTATAAAGATGCACTCTAGAGAGAAGTGCCTTCCTTGTTGCAACAAACTCAAGATTTCAATGATCAAATTCAAGATTGGGATAAATTCACGGATGTGCTTGATCAACTCAACTCACTTACATGCTTCAAGTCTCATTTCTGGTTTTATGTTGTTATTCTAGGACTCACTGCTGTCTTCTTTCTGCTTATATTCTTAGTATGCCAGAGAGGACTTGCAACCAACTGACATCTAGATGCCATGCAACCTGGACTTACCCTGGTGCAGCTGCTTCCACTTCAAAAGAGAAAAGGGAGAACTGCTAAGGGCCAAGTTGATATGGTACAGAGCAGATAATAATTAATATTAATAAACTGGCACAGAAATAAATTGAGAGTCTGTCCTAGGCCTACGTGACTTGTGGTGAGATCTCTGGCTAGCTTAAAGACAGAATAATCTTTAAACAAGTGGCCAGGGCTGAGGCTAACAGCCTGTGAAGTTCTGACACCTCAAAGCAAGATAACCGGGCATCTGAGGACTTTGACTCACGCAAATTCGATCTAGCTCAGTAGTCACAGTTAGCAGAGAATCAGGTTACTAGTTAACCATGATCTGGTACTGTGTGCAAAAATGCATTGCTCCTCAGTTCTTCAACCTTGACTGACCACATCAGCAGCTCACCGCCACTACTTCTTGCAGCCCAGCAGCAACCCCCACATCATGCTGTGCACCTAATAAAGGCCAAGGACACTGGTGCCTCATATCCGAGCCTGTCACTGGGCTTTGACCATGCTGGTGTCCTTGTAACTAAAATATATTTTGTTTGTGTTTTATTCTGTCATCATACCTCTGAGAAGGAGATCAATGGCCCTAGGCCAGGGTCTGGATAGTAGTCCAGGCTACCCTTGAGCTCACTACATAGCATAGGTTGACCTCGAATTCACAGGATCCTCCTGCCTCAGCCTCCCAGTGTTGGGATAGTGGCATGTACCACTACACCTGACTTCACCATCAATCTTATCATCATAGTGGAGTGTTGACAGCACCAAAGCTACTTTGCATTTCTTCACCATATAAAAGGCTAATGTTATGTCTTTCTAAAAGGCCAATGTTATGTCTTTCTGAAATCCACAGATTGTACTATACATTTCTATTGTGTACTTGCAATATTTTGGGGAGAATCTCTGCTTTGTTTTATGTTACTTTTGAAATAGGTGCAACAAGTCTTTTGGCAAGTTCATATGGTTTATTACTACAGGAATAAAGACCTAATGGCTGAGTTCCAAGACAAATCTGTAAATTCAAGGTGTAAAATGTCTTGGCATCTACGTGGATGTGTGTGTGTGTGTGTGTGTGTGTGTGTGTGTGTGTATCATATTTGGAAGGTTTATGGCATATATTACCAAAAGTTTCAACAGCCATGAAATGATGTAAGTGGTCCATCAATTGTCATATATCTGGACAATGTATAAATTGCTTGACAGTTCAAACCAAAGCTTTCGAAAAAATGAGTGAATGGCAGCCAAACTGTGAATTTTTTTTTCTTCCTTGGTGGGTCTTTTTGTCATAAAAAACATAGGCAATTTAGAAGGAAACCAAATCTCTTGAGTATTATTTTTGTTCTACAAATCTCAGTGTCAGGGGCTGGGGAGGTAGTTCAGTAGCATAGTGCCTGCCTGGCAAATGTGAGGACCTGAGTTCAATTCCCAGAACCAAAAACAAACAAACAAACAAACAATAAATAAATAAAATAAAAATCTCAATGTCACATCTGTCAGTTATCCACACATCCTTTAGATTCTGCTGATTAGAATGATAAAGTCTTGCTGTGATGACTTTTAGTTTAGACAGTGAGGTGTCATGGTAAATATATGTTTGAGTATTACTATTGATGCATGTAGAATGTTTTACTTGTATTTCATTATTAGTGTATTTCAAAACATCTTGTAGCATATTTTCCCTTATGAACAATTTCCAACATTGAATGGCAGTGTTAGCATTCTATCCAATAGATTTTACCCCTGGCGAGAACCTAATAACACTTTCTGACCATCTAGCTTTAATGTTGGATTGCTCAGGTATACATGACCATTTTGCCCATTTTGACTAGTCAGATATTTATTTTCATTACTGTTTTCTTCCTCATCTGAATCAAGGTTTTTATTCTGTACTTCTCTATCTGTCATATCTTGTTCCATCTTATTGCCACAACGTCTTTGGCTTACATGATCCAAGCGTATCATTGGTAGCTGAATCACCTGATGATTCATTTTCAACCTTCTCCCAAAGTTGTAAAAGCAGAATTTCATGCAACACTGTACAGAATTGGGCTAATTCTACAAGAAAAACCAAAACCCAACATTTAATAAGACAAATTATAAATACACAAATATGTAACATGGCACATAACATGGGTAAAACTCACCTGTTGCTACTTTGACATGTGTGAATACTCCTTGCTGTTTGCCTACCAACTGGCTGAATACAAAGACTGCTGCCTGCATTCCTGCAGCACAACTACTGAGACACACAGTCAGATACCACCATGCTAAAACACATATTTTCATTAAGAAAATATGGTAGGGGCATCTTTTACCCACACATGATGCCACTAGGGACTTTTTGTGTCTATGTTCATTACAGAAACTGTGTTCTCTTTCTTGCTTTCTTGCTTCCTTCCTTCCTTTCTCTGTTTTTGAGATCAAGATAACGTTAGCTTCTGAGAAAAATTTTGCAAATAATTCTTCCCTCTCAATTTCATTAAAAAGTTTTTGGACTATTGGAAGGTTTTAGACCTTCCATAAAGTTCTTGTAGATCTGAGCTGTGAATCCGTCCAGTCCTGAAGTTTTCTTAATTGGTAGGGTTTTTTATTACTACTTCTATTGCTGGTTATTGGATTGCTTAAAATGTTTAAGGCTTCTTGGCCCATATAGTTTTGACAATTCATATGTATCTAGCAATCTTCGCATTTCTTCTGAGTTCTACAATTTTTGGCATATATGTTTGTGAAATACTTGCTAATAATTTTCTGGATTTTGGCAATGTCCGTTGATTTCACCTTTTGCCTTTCTAATTTCATTAACATTTCTTTTCTTTCCTTTTTTGGTAAGATTGGCTAAGGGTTTGTCTGTTTTGTTCATTCTTTCAAAGAGCCAGGTTTTTGATTCATTGGTTCTCTGTGTTATTTTCTTTAGTTTTCATTTCATTAATTTCTGCTCCAATCCTTATAACTTCCTTCCTTGTAAAAGCTATGGGTTTGGATTGTCTCATTTTTCTAAGACTGTGAAATGCATCATTAGGTTATGTATTTGGACCCAATGTGTTTTTCTGACGTGAGCATTTACCACTGTAAAATTCCCTCATAGGACTGCTTTCATTGCGTCTCATAAATTCTGGTATGTTGCACTGTCATTACCATTTAACTCTAGAAATTGTATTACTTCTTCCTTAATTTTCTTTGTGATCCATTGGTTCACAGGTGCACATTTAATTTACATATGTTTGCGTAGTTTCCATGGTTTCTTTTGCTATTGTTTCTAGTTTCACTGCATTGCTTTCTAATAATGTGCATAGTAAAATTTTAAGTCTTTTGTATTTATTTAGGCATGCGTTTCTAGCTAGGATGTGTTCTATTTTGGAAAAAGTACCACGTGCAGCCAAAAGTAATGTATATTCTATTGTTGAGTGGAATAATCTGTATATATCTGTTTGAAGGTTAGTTCAACTCTGATATTTTTGTTGATGTTTTTGTTTTGTTTATCTGTATTTTGTGATAGTAGGATATTGAAAACCCCCACGATAATTGTATTGATGTTTATCTGATATTTTATGTTCATTAGAGTTTTTTTATGAAGTTCAGTACACTGTGGTTTGATGCATACATATTTATAATTGTTATCTCTTCTTATTAACCAATATGTAATGTCCTTCTGTGCATCTTTTGATCAACTTTGGTTTGAAGTTCACTATGTATGAAAATAGGATGTCTACTCCTGCTTGTTTTCTAGCTCCCATTGCATAAAATATTGTTTTCCATACTCTGATTTTTATTGTTTAAATTTCTCTTTGTGTTAAACGTATTTCTTGTATATAACATAGCACTGAATTTTCTTTCATTACCCATTATGCTGATCTATGTCTTTTGATTTGTGAGTTGAGTGCATTTACAGTGATAGTTATAATTGATAGATATTGACTTACTCTTCTCATTGATTGATTTCCTGTTGCTGATTTTCTTCCTTTACTTCTTCTTAATTGCTAGTCCTACCTGATATATTCATTTTATTGGCTTTTTTGGCATTGTTAGCTTTAGTGTGGCTTTCTAGGATATCCTTGTGAATTTTTTTGAGTGTTGATTTTGTGGTCATGAATTTCTTTAGGTTTTCTTTTTCATGGACGTATCATTTCTCAATGAATACTGAATGATAATTTTGCAGGATGTAATAGTCTGATTTGGAAGTTGTTTTCTTAAAAAGCTTATAACACTATATTCTATGTTCACCTTGCCTTTAAAGTTTGTATTGAGAAATCTATTATAATTTGATGGGTTTTCCTTTATAGGTGACTCGTTTTTCTCTACTATTGCTGAATATATGCTTATTGAATTAAGTCACCCACAGACGCTGGATGCAGAGAAAAGCAAGTTTATTAGCCAGCAGTGGGCACCCAGTACCTGGCCACGCACTGACCCTGAAGGGCAGAGGGGAGAATATTTATACAATTCTAGTTCTGGGTCTAGTTCTGGGTCTAGGGGGTGATTTGTTTTTTTATTGGGTACAGATATAGAAATTCTCCTACAAAGCATGACTTAGCTTGTGCCAAAGGAACAAAGGTGTTTAGCTCTTTTCATTAGGGGTGGGGTACAAGGTGTACAAAGCATTGGGTGGTATCAGGTTAGGCAACTATGACAATATTTACAAGAAACAAATTTAAGGAAACAGAAACTTAAGCTTTAAAATGGCACTAGAGTACAAAATGGCATACATTTGGTTCCCTTTCCCATGTCGTTCCCCGTCAAGGACACTCTCCTCTTATCAAGCTGGTGAGGTGTCCTTAAATTTATCTACAGAGGTTGATACCCAGGATTCTTGTCCACACCAGAAGTTGTACCTGGACCAGTCTAGTTCGAATCCTTCCTATCATCCTTTTAACTAGGCAAGGCCCAATCACAAGTAAGACTATACAGATCACCAATGGCCCAGCAGACTTGTCAGTAAAGAAGTTAGCCAGGGGTTCCATTTGTACATCTGGGTATACCACCCTTGGGAATTTTGGCAGTCTTTTGCTCTCTTGTCAAGGCGCTCACAGATCCTGGCCAAAGTCTCTTTGAGGATTTCTGACT